TTTTTTTTTTTTGAGGGGGGAAAATCATCCAATGACTTCTCCCGCCCGGGTGAGGCGGGAGGGAGTGTCAGACTCTTACTGACTAAAAACCACCCCGTTCCTACTCCTGCACTTCGAGCCGGAGCCCCGGCAACCCGTTAAGTCTTCCGCGGCTCCGTATCGGCATCAGCCCTGTTAGGCCCCATCTGTGGTGGTCTGATGGCTCCTTGAGGCGCGCGCGGAACGCGACGCGCCGTACGCTCGGGGGGCCGGTTCAACTGGGGTGTTATGTAACATTAGAAAAAATCTCATTGTTTTGCCGTGTGAGCAAGGTTACCGAATGCCTAAACTACCCAAAGATCGACACTTGGTTTTGCGATTGTCCATTAGCAGCACCGATTGTTTTACGGTGATCCATCTGCTCGTTTGCAGTTTTATCCCGTAAAATGGAATAGGTAATAATGACAAGTAGGTATGTAGGTAAATAAACAAAATTCAAATTACCAGCTCTGTCCAATAGTTCTTTGGAGATGGGATGGTGTGAGAGCCATACTAGGGCTGAACTTCCTGGAATGAGTTTCAGGAGGTCTTCCTTAGCCAGGGTCCTGCCTTCCTCTCCAAAGTTGAGGTATTTCGTCTGGACAACTGTGAAACTGATACAAGTATTAGTTTTTTGGTAGGATAAACAGATACAGAAAAGAAGCTGATAGGGTAGGTAGGACAACAAGAAACAACAATAAGGAACATAATGTTCTGATCGGTTGATCCAGTATTTCGCAGCATTTCTTATCACTACATAGTATAAAACAAAGTCGCTTTCTCTATCCCTATGTCCCTTTGTATGCTTAAATCTTTGAAACTACGCAACGGATTTTGGTGCTGTTTTTTTTAATAGATAGAGTGATTCAAGAGGAAGGTTTATATGTAGGTATAATACATGTATATTGCACCCGTGCGAAACCGGGGCGGGTCGCCAGTAAATAATAAAAATCTGCCAAAGAACGACAATTGCATGCATTGCACCTCGACCTTGGAACCGACGCACGCAAGGTCTGATAAACCAGTTGCAGCTCAAAGTGACAGATCACGTTTGATATGAGATATTAAGTTACAAGTAGGCCATTCGTACCTTCTTCATCATTACAGCAGAGGAATGGTAGATGAAGTTAGAATCGTGTAACAAACCCCGTTTGCTTAACTTATAGGTCCGTAACACCGATGTACCTATACCTGATTGTGTACAGCTCTGTAGTGATCGTAGTGTATTAATTCACAATACAGTTGATAACGATATCAGAGAAAAACGTCATAAAAATCAATATAATCATAGTAAATTATGGTGACAAAAACTACAAACGGAATAACCCACGTGTCAAGTAAAATCAATAAAATGATAGAGTTATGATAAGAATGGCTACTGTACAATGTTTGTATGTTATGATAGGAATGGGCCTGCGGACGGCAAGCATGGGTGGCTCCCCGTCCGACCAGAAACAGACCCGAGCGTACGGCGCGTTATGGCGCGTCGTGTGCCGCGCGCGCCTCAAAGAGCCATCAGACCATCATGGTTTGGGCCCAACAGGGCTGATGCCGATTTGGAGTCGCGGAGAACCTAACGGAATACCAGGGCTCCGGCTTGACGTGGAGGAGAAGGAACGGGGTGGTTTTTAGTCAGTAAGAGTCTGACACTCCCTCCCGCCTCACCCAGGCGGGAGCAGTCATTCGATGATTTTCCCCCCTTATGTTGAGCCTATTGCCATATACACAATTCCAGACTCCGTGCTACTACTGAGATTTTTTTAAAAACCCAGTTATACTTTGCCCGACCCGGGAATCGAAACCGAGACCCCTTGCCCGGCAGTCGCACTTGCGACCACTCGGCCAACGAGGCAATCCTACTTATAATTATCTATATTAGAAAAAATGTACCTTACGTGATTTAGTTCAAATATTTCTGTAACAATACTGGAAAAGGTTATCAGTTCGTGTACCTATCCACACTATAGCTAATCAGTGGTCGTAAAGTTCGTAAAGCATTGAATAAAACATTGCCACGGTACTACAAATGAAGTCTATGTATCGAATGCAATAATGCCTACTACCTACCTAATTAGGTACCCGTGGTAAAACAATGGTCAACTAAATTAAGTAGGTAGGTAGGTACAGATTTACTAAGATCTTACTAATACCACAGCTAATACTAAAAATTCCAAAGTTTGTGAATTTGTAGGTAGGTACTTATGTTAGTATTTGTGTGTGTGTATTAACTCAATCTGGAAATTCAACAAAGTCTGGAATAACACATGGGGTATTTATTAACCCACGGGAACGTGGACGAAGCCGCGGTGAGAAGTTGGTAAGTTCCTAAATCAAGATATATTATCTTTCATCTTTTGGGGGTCAATGTCACATATACTTACGTGACAAACAAAAACTGTCCCTGGACGCCAACGATATAAATATATTACATGACAGAAAAAGCGGAACCGGAAATACGAAATCAACAATTTGATTCCCTATTTCATTCGTAGAAATTAGCGCGGATTTTGTGGCTTGGCGTTGAGGGCAGGTTCATGTGTTTTTGCTCTGGCGTTCAAAAGGTTAAAAATCTAATCAAACCTTTAAAAATCCAATAGTGGAAGATATAATAAAGATTTATTATATTTTCAATTCTTATATTTTCTTAATTCTCAGTCAACATAAGCATAAAGTGAGGTAAATATAGGAATCGTTCATTATCCTGGCTTAAAAATAGCTTGCCCTGAGGAAAATTTCAATTGATACCTACCTAAAGATATAATAACATGTAACAGGAATTATAATATGTATATGGTGTATGATATACCGTGTCATGCATGCCACATGCCATATGCCGTATATGGCATGTGGCAATAGGCTCACCCTCACCCCCTATTACATGGGACTCATGACATGAACAGTGAAAAGTGGGTGTTACATTGTACAGTGGCATAATGTACACCTCTGCCTACTCCTACGGGGATAAAACGCGTGATGTTATGTTATGTTATAAGGAATTATGGACCACACTACAATTAACTCGTCGAGTACCGGTTTTGTAGACACAATTATAGAACAATAGGTTGCGGTCACCGGTGACCGCTTGGTGTTTGACAGTTTAATTCGAAACACTAAACCCAGTTCATCTATTAGATACAAAATTGCTATAGGTAGTTACCTACTTGTGGCATTTACATTAATTGCTGTATTATATAGTTTTTTAATGACAGATTGGAGTGAATAACTTCAAGTGGCCTTGTGTAGATACATTACTAGGTCGTTACCATTGCTAGCTATCCAGTTATTTTCGAGCTCCGATTCCAGACGCGATTTCTTTTAACTATTTTACGTAGTTATGTGTTAAGAAAAAATAAAGGCATAAAGGTATACTTTGCATTATTTGCCGAAAACAGTAGGCGATGTATGTGGGACTATTTTTTTTTTAATTATTACTAGGTACCTGTAATTACGATACTTCGTGCAAATAAACGTTCTTATTCTTATTCTTTTCAAGTGTACCTTTATACCTTTATCTATGTAGGTAATATCTTCCATAGACGGGTGGATCCTAAATTCAAAGTTAACAATACTTCTGACTATAACATAAAATTTGGTTTCAAGAAATCAAGCCGTGTCACTTCTTTTAAAACCAATCTAATAAAATATAGATGGTAATAAGTTACCACAATGCTTAAACACGGGAGGATAATGATTTATTAAATAAAAATTAAGGCTTTTCGGAGAAATAGCTAGCATATTCGGACTTTAAGCAATTTTAGATTTAATGCATAGGTATCTAGGTAGGTAACAGCATTTTTTGTGTAGGTACCTATAAAACACTATTTCATTTTATGTCAGTAGTCAATTATCGTTATAACATTTATAAAGGTACCTAGGCATTTTTACAGTACATCACTTGTAAATGGAACGACAACACCATCGTGTTAAAAAAATGGTCACCCTTATCCCTCATCACATAGTGGAGTCGTCTCATTATTTTTTATTTGGTAAATTAAAACAATGATTTTTTTCTAAATGGCGGGTAAAAAAAATGATTTCTAATGTAACTACATACGAGTTTTACTTAAGAGTTTTATGAAACAAAACATGGATTTAAACTGTCAAACACCAAGCGGTCACCGGTGACCGCAACCTATTGTTCTATAATTGTGTCTACAAAACCGGTACTCGACGAGTTAATGAATGAAACAAATAATTAAAATTAAAAGTAAATAAATACTCACTGTTCCTCCAAAACCTTGAGCCCACTGGCGGGAAAATCGTTGGACGAAACCAAAACTTTCAGATTCTTCGTCATTGTGTTATTTGCGACACAACTTGCCGGTAACGTGACAGCAACTAACGCCAACACTGCCACATAATGTGCAATCATTGTTTATGTAATCTCTAAAGATATCGTATCTTAAAATCGAAAGATAAATACGTAGTGTAACGAAGCTGGTTCGAGAGCTTGTGTGCCGTGTGCCGGCTGTAGACCTACACCCAAGGCCTTGACTCCAGAAAAAAAATGGAGCGGTCTAGCCGACGAATGGCGGGAACGTGCTCAGATGTTATGATTGGTCAGTTGGTCACTGCCATGTTTATTGTTTTGATAAAGTTATGTAGTTACGACTTACAAGATAAACTCTACTGGGTTTATGTGAAAAATAAACAATAGGTACCTAATCTTATTCAATTATGTTTATATAAATTACATAATTATTATTATTTATTCCTACAATGTTCCCCAGATACACGAAGTTTGTAAGTTTCTAACTATAATAGGTAGGTGCTTACATGAGTAGGTATACCTTGTTTTAAGTAAAACAGAACTGTCCCTATGTACTTATCATCTATCTACATAACTATAGGGATGTTGTGTAGGTAGATCTACCTACAATATCTGTATAGTACCTACAATACTGTAGTTAAGTATAATAACAACAGAGTTTAACTAACAGTTCCTTAATTTAAATATTTTCCAGCTCATATTACAAAATACTTATTGCGCCTTACTTGAAAATTCTGAAATAAAACTATGTTTAATTCATAATGAACAAAAGTAAATAAAAACATGCTTACCTAACCTTCAAAACAAATTGACACTTGTCAGCTGTTTGACATAACCACAGATAACTAAGAAATAACTACTAGGTAACAGACCAGATAAAAATAGTATATAAAAAGGTTGCTCTCGAACGTAAAAACTACTTAGTTACTTTTACTCGTAATAGAACGCCTTGGTTGTACCGTCAGGTAGCTCAAGTAATAGTACGAGATCCGGCTGCAGAATCAGTGTACCCATCGAGTGTTTGCTGAAAACTAAATTTTTACACATATTCATGATTAGGAGAATTTATATCCACCAGGTTGCCTATCAAAATGTGGCCGCTAGTATTTTTAATTAAATTATTAATAATTCATAATCCGTAAGAAATTTCATTGACTTTTTTTTTCAATGAAATGTCGTCTACTTTACGGCAACATCTATAAAGACTCTGAAAAATTATGGTTGCCGTTGCGCACCTGGCCGCACCTCTTCGCAGCCAGGTATGCACAGGTATGAATTTGTTACATTTATACACCCACAACGTACATTTATAATTTATATATCAAATTAAAGCAATTTTTTTTCTGTATATTATTATATACGGTTGCTTAATTAAATCTGGCCGCCAATAAGGGTTGCTGGCTAATAAATATAGTAAATATTAAAAGTAGAGTGAAAGAGAGCTAGCGCGTAACACCACTAGTCACTAGGTACGACTCAAAATAATAAATACTCCAAAAGAAACGTCTTTCTTTTCTAAAATAAAAAATTAAAAAGTCAATGACAAATTTAAAAATTACAAAAAAAATGAATATTGATGATAAATAAAATCAAGGTTACTTATGTAAAAAAATTGTGTTGTACAAGTACTGTATGAAAAAAGATTTAATTTTATTCAAGTATTACATTTATTTTACATATTCATCAATCATCAGTTTAAGCAAATTATAAATTTTTAAAATGTATTATATTTGTATTATACTTCCATGACTCTTTTTTAAAAATCTGAATCATCGGAGCTCTCAGTCACACTATCATCGCAGCTATCACTTTCATCAGAAATATCGGTATCGTCGTTATTATCGGAAGGCTTGTTCGTGGAATCACACAGCACATTCTCAACTTGCGCTGGAGTTGGATCTCCCAGGAACCATGTTGGTTTTAAAAAACCATCTAACAGCAGCCAGCCATTATTTTCCGCGCTGAACTTGATGCAATCCCGCTCAGTAGCATTTAACCACATCGAATTAACAAAGATGGTTCGCAATAATTTTTCCTTTAAAGATTTCCAGCATGGTGGAATGTGCGTTGAGTCAAAACCTTTAATTCTTCTCATAAATTTCTTACTACTTCCTTTTGAAGCGTACACTTTGTTGAATAATAAAAAATCTTGCGGCATTTACACTTTGGCACTTTGGGAGTCCATACATAAGGCACGTGAAATGTTAAATCTGACGCATGCGCAATGGCTTTAAACCGTCCGACAGCTGGCAATCGCTATCCTCGTCTGACTAGTGGTGTTACGCGCTAGCTCTCTTTCACTCTACTTTTAATATTTACTATATTTATTAGCCAGCAACCCTTATTGGCGGCCAGATTTAATTAAGCAACCGTATATAATAATATACAGAAAAAAATTTGCTTTAATTTGATATATAAATTATAAATGTACGTTGTGGGTGTATAAATGTAACAAATTCATACCTGTGCATACCTGGCTGCGAAGAGGTGCGGCCAGGTGCGCAACGGCAACCATAATTTTTCAGAGTCTTTATAGATGTTGCCGTAAAGTAGACGACATTTCATTGAAAAAAAAAAGTCAATGAAATTTCTTACGGATTATGAATTATTAATAATTTAATTAAAAATACTAGCGGCCACATTTTGATAGGCAACCTGGTGGATATAAATTCTCCTAATCATGAATATGTGTAAAAATTTGGTTTTCAGCAAACACTCGATGGGTACACTGATTCTGCAGCCGGATCTTAGACTATAAGTAATACGTGTAGTTGAATGAATTTGTATGTGATTTATCTATGGTTATGTATGGTTTTTAGTCTGACACTCATTCCGCCTCACCCAGGTGGGAGAAGTCATTCGATGATTTACCCTTCTTAAAAAAAGTCAACATCTCTATCAGACGATTACAGTCCTCACGACTATGTGCTACCTTTGCATACCATTATACATCATAGGTACTCCCCCTCTCAACATGTGACGTAATTTGAGGATGTGGTGAAGGAAAACCGCTTTCCTCACGCATCGGCTGCACGCTGTGCATTTGCCAGACAGATCTAAACACACCTTCAAATCTCGACAAGTACTCCTAAATATGATATCGTATTTCTCATTTCATTAAATCCGGCAACTTTTGTAAATGGTACTTTAAATAAAACATTACCTCATTTTTGCACACGTTCATGATTTTGCACTCGTTCTTTCTATACAGGGGTCGTTATTACAAAATGTCTTAATTACCGATTTACCCCTTAAAGATAAGTTAAGCAATATATTGATAAGATAGCGTTTACAATATAACTGGCTGGTATCGGTTTTAGAATTCATGAATAATTAGGCATACCATGGGCATACTGCTCTGTTGACCTCTTCGGAGGCAGAATAATAAGGAGTCTCGTTGGCTATTTTTGGCTACTTTAGTAAATTAAGAGAGGCCATACAGTTCACGTAAGACCTTGACGAGTTTGTATAACAGAGGCATTCACAGGACTGTTTATGACAGTACTTTTATACCGTTTTACTCTAAGACTCACTTACTCTATTATTGTCGGTAGTAGGTAATTCAATCTCATGCAACAATAGATTATTACAAGTTGGCAATCTAAGAAATAGATGGGATACTGTCTGTGTATCGTCTACAGTATCATATCCCGTATGGTGTATACCGAAGGCCCAATTTCTCTCTTGCCCAGTCTCCAAGTCCCGAAACCTCAAAACCTAACCTAACCCCCAAAAGACCGGTAAGTACTTTTAACTCATCTGGTGTTGCGGGTGTCCATGAGCAGCGCTGATTGCTTACTATCAGGTGATAAGTCTGATCGTTTGCCGGTCTAACCCATAAAAATCATGCCTATGTATGTACTTATGGATACGTATGTACATGACACAAACCAGGCAGATAAGTATATTCTGCACTAACCAACAAACTTTACAATAATGCCTACTACATGACATAACATAATATAACATCACGCCTTTTATCCCCGAAGGGGTAGGCAGAGGTGCACATTACGGCACTTAATGGCACTGTACAATGTAACACTTTTCACTATTTATGTTAAGAGTCCCATGTAATAGGGGGTGAGCCTATTGCCATATCACATTTCCAAACTCCGTGCTACTACTTAGATTTTTAAAAACCCAGTAATACTTTGCCCGACCCGGGAATCGAACCCGAGACCCCTTGCTCGGCAGTCACACTTGCAACCACTCGGCCAACGAGGCAATGCCTACTAGTGTTAATTAGCTACCATCCTATTCTCAATATAACACATTGAGTTTTAATTGCACTCACCACGGTAACACTTCTCATGAAACTCGTATAACTATGTATATTGCAATGCAAGTTCATCATTTTGTAAGTAAATCATTAATGTTTCAGGGGACTATTGATGTTGAGTTTATTTTTTTTATTTTCAGTCATGATCGTCTCACTGCAGGGCAAAGGCCTCCTACCCTCCTACTCCTCTCTATGTAAAGCTTTTTGCGGTCAATCCTTGTCATACATGTCTTATTCGTCCCGCCATTTTTTTTTTGGGCCTGCCGCGACGTCTTCGAGTGGGCTTCACCCAGTAAGTAGTAAGTTTCGCCCACCACTCTTCTGTGATGTTGAGTTTGCAAAAAGTAAAATTGTATTAATTAAGGGAATTGTAAACTTGTTTGTGGTTCCAATAAATGAAGGAATAGAAGAAGTAAGTATAGTTTATTGATAATAAAATATAGTTCTTATTACATATTACAATAGACGGCTAATTCATTCTAAATAAAATAAAGATAGTTATCATCAACAAGGATATAGCATAGGTTTTCCTTCTAGTGCCAGTAATACGTTCTGTGCTGATATGGACGCCATCTTGTTTCTGGTGTCAACTGTAGCGCTACCCATGTGGGGTAAAATGTCTGAAAAGAAAAAAAAATACTTGTAACAAATTAGGTACAATCACATTATTTACATTAATAGTGCTTGCAAAGATGGATGAATTGGAAAAATGAGATACACGTCTTTGGATCCATAAAGGGGTATTTAAGCAAAAGAATATCAAACGCCAATTTTTTAGCCAGTATCTTGAAAGTTTATATGCGGTAGTCATGCTTTGGCACGAATGGACTGGCTCGACCGAAGTAATACTAAGGCCTCACACAAAACCGTGTTTTACAGCGTGAGTGAGGCTGCCGGGAGTCCAATTAGCCTCTCCCAACGCATTTGTAGGTAACTCCACTGGTGTTGCGGGTATCCATGGGCGGCATCTATTGCTTACCATCAGGCTTTGTCTGCTCGTTTTCCGTCCCATAGGTACTCTTATTAATTGTAATATTAGTTTTGATTATACTTACAACAGTTTGGCAAAGAGACGAGAGGATGGTCGTTCCGTAATGGCTCTGGAGTAGTGACATCTAATCCTGCTGCGAAGATCTGCTTCTCTTTCAGAGCATTGTACAGAGCTTCTTGGTCTATTAACTCTGAAACACGTAAAGAAGTTGTTTAAGAATAATAATTCTGTTATGTTCTCTTCTCTCATTCTTATCATGTTACCACTTTGATATAACTGTCTTGACTATTTATTTATGCAGAAGAATTTACGGCATCATCATCTGTTAGGGTTGAGATTGGTTGAGAATTTGGGACATCCTAGTCAAAGTTTCTTTTCAATACTAACACAAAATAAGATCACACCATTTAAGAACGGGTAGACAGAGGTGCACATTACTTTTCACCATTTATGTTATAAGTCCCATGTAATAGGGGGTGAGCCTAGTGCCATATACCAGGCGCAATTCCCGACACCGTGCCACTACTGAGAATTTGTTTAAAAAACTCAGTAATACTTTGCCCGACCCGAACTCTTGCCAGACGACCACTCGTCCAAAGAAGCAGTCTTAAATATATAATAAGCATCAGATCTTTTTTACTAGCTAGGAATGTACAAAGTTTTTGAGCTTCATGATATGCAAATTAAATGATTTGGTCCTTTGAGCTAATTTTCTGTTTCCCTCTCATCAATCAGCTTACCTCCTCTTCCAATATTGACGACTACAGCGGTCTTCTTCATTGTCTTGAGTGATTCAGTGTTGATCAGATGTCTAGTCTCTTTCGTAAGAGGACACGAGAGGACCACGAAGTCGCTCTCCCTTAGCAACTGGTCTAGTGGCACTCGTTCTGCTCCCAAGGTTTTTGCTTTAAAAGAAGAGCAAACAATAGGGTAGCTTCCTAAATTTTATTTTAATGACCGTCTGGTACATTAATTTAAAACATTACACACATATTTTTTCTTTTCTCACAAAATTAAATACTTTCGACGGTATATTCATTTGAAATATCGTATGACGTCACATCGTGTCACATTTTGTAGCACGTTATGACGTAACGACCTCCCACTCCTAAACTTAGCGCCATTTTATCTAAGTATTGCAACTTAAACTGTCAAACACCAAGCGGTCACCGGTGACCGCAACCTATTGTTCTATAATTGTGTCTAACTGACGGACTAATTAGATTCTAAATTTTGATACCCTGGAAACTATCCAAGTAGGCCTGCATCTTTCATTGTTATGGGTGGTTAAAGTGTACTGGTGTTAGTAGACATCTCGCATTCCTGTTAAGAAGTCTATTGCACCATTGTTGTTAAGATGTACTGGATAATCTCTTTCCTTAAGCCATCACGAGGGGTTACCCGTCTTGATTGTGTTTAGGACACTAAAGTTTCCTTAATTATTGGGTTTTGGCTACCAATAGATGCAAAAAGTCCTTTTTTTTAATGGCTCCTAACCTACTTGCAAACAATATTTCTATCATGATTATATATGTAAAAGGTAAGATAATGCAATATCTGTTAGATTATTTTACGCAATGAGCAGATTTTTTCCATTAGATTATATAATCCAGTTATTACTAGTTATAAGTTCGTAAAAAGGGTCATTATCATTACATTTCCGTCTTTGATCGGGCCCAAAAACTGGCTGTATAAAAAAATGTTTAGCACTTAAATTATTCAGGAACAAACGAAATAGTGCAGATACGGCTGCGATGTGATATAATATGTTTCTTTGACCACGAACTTCAAATTCGCAGTCATATTAGTCATCTCTATCTATCTTTGGACCTCACTTAACTTGTTAACAACTAACAAGTCATTTTAGATGACTATGACTTTTTATTTGTTGCTATCAATGGGTTATCTAAATGAGATAACTATGCTTGACATCAAAGCGTAGATATAGTATTATTTAGTCAATATTTGTGCCAAATTCTTTATCAGGCTCATAATGTAAGATAATTTGGTTGATAACTGATACTTCTTTTGCTACGAGTAGTATGTTTGTTTATTGAATATATTACGTTTCAGACGGATCACCTGATGGTACGCGATCATCGTTGCCTATAGCAACCCGCAACACCAGAGGAGTCACAGGTGCGTTGCCGGCTTTTTATAAAGGAATACGCTCTTTTCTTGAATGACATATCGGTTCAGAAATACCGCCGACGACAAATCATTCCACAGTTTTGCTGTGCGAGGCAGAAACTTACACGGTCTTTCGTCATTGGAATCAAACGTTGTATCGTATGTAAATGTCTTAACCTCAGTTAGACTAGAACCAAGCCCTATGGAATTGATTGTAGATTTTATTATCAAATATGACTCAGTGATTCTAGAACGTTCTAGATTAGTATCTACCAATCTTGAGATGAACCGATCATCTCTCGATTGTGTCAGTTATGTTATGAGATGACATATCAAGACTTAAATGTAGTTTCGTTTGCTCATACATACTTATGGGTGATGCAATTTGTGAAACATATATTTTTACATCTCCTTTTTTCACTATTTTTGTCACTTTCTCTATCTCTTCTTACCTTCAGGCTTGTCACTGCGTCCACTATACAGGAATCTAGCGACATCGAACCCCCTCAATCTTCGAAGCACTGCTTGTCCTATACCCCCGAAGCCCACGATCCCAACTGTGCTGCCAGAAATGTCCTGCCCAACCATCCATTGGACACCGTACTTCCATTCGCCTCTGGAATCAGGACAAATATAACATTTTACTTAAGATAACCTGAACTGAAGTAACATGGGAAAGTTTTGGAGTGAAAAGTGATCAATAGAACGGCCTTGTAGCATTAGTAGTTTCTGGACAAAATACTTTTTACTTTGGAGCCAAAAATTAAAATAAAGGTCGTGGATGAAATACATATTCGTGGAGCAAAAACAAAGATATACAACAAAATTCGTTTGAGTGCCGGTATACGAGACACAATAGAAAATACATTGTGTTTTGCGCAGATCTACATTCCCGGCATTTTTTTTAGGGGTGGAAAATCATCGAATGTCTGCCAGACTCTTGACTGTGTCAGACTCTTACTGACTAAAAACCACCCCGTTCCTTCTCCTGCACGTCGAGCCGGAGCCCCGGTAACCCGTTAGGTTCTCCGCAACTCCGAATCGGCATCAGCCCTGTTGGGCCTTATCCGTGGTGGTCTGATGGCTCTTTGAGGCGCGCACGGAACGCGACGCGCCGTACGCACATTCTCGGCATACCATGGGTTAATCAAACCCTGTGGTAAAATAAAATCAGTCTGGTTTTGGCATTTTTCCGCTAGGAGCGCTGCTTACGTTTTCAGTCTAATATGCAAATGTAAAATTACTTCTTACTTCGACAACTATTTCTAAGGACACTTCTGACTTGCTATCACAGCTACTGATTATTATCATCTATTTGTTATTTGATTAAATTAAATACGTATATCAGTAGTACCTATGTAATTACAACTATCGACTAACGAGTGCTATTTATGGTGTAACACTTATTTTTATTATTTACTCAGCGAATGAAGTAGAAAATCCAAACTGCGCATGGAATGTTAGTTTTCATAAATTGCTGTAGGTAACCATATTCAGGCAATTAGTTGTATTTAAGCAGCTAATTCGTTACAAGGACTAATTAGAGCAATATGTTTTCGAGGTGAGTGTCAAATAGAAATGCTGGTAGACATCAGCGTTCTGTTTTGATCTACCAAAACATAGCATCACGCCTTTTATCCCCGAAGGGGTAGGTACAGGTGCACATTACGGCACTTAATGCTACTGTACTATGTAATACCAACTTTTCACTATTTATGTTATGAGTCCCATTTTACGGGGTGAGTCTATTGCCATATATCATGCACAATTCCAGACTCCAGACTCCAGACTCCAGACTGATATATTTTTATAAAAACTTAATAGTACTTTGCCCGACCCGAGCCCTTTGCCCGGCAATCGTACTTGCGAACATTCGGCCAACGAGGCAGTTAACTACAACCAAAACTATTTTGTAAAAGTAGTCAAATATTTTGTAAAATTGGAAAACCATACCCAGGTAAATGAATTGCATGAATGCATGAAATATTGTGATTGGGATTTTATACATGTGTATGTAACCCATATTAATATAAGGTTATCATTGCTATATCATTGACCGCGTCAGTGAAAGAAATGTGGGGAGGCCTTGGGAGTGGATGTCTTGTGGCGATGACAATGATAATGATCGAGTCTCAACTATCAAACAAAGATGATTTTTTAATAGTAATGAACCAGAAACTCACGCCTCCAACTCCTGAACTCCTTCCTTGAACCTCCTTGCAGCAGCAATGATGAGTCCAACAGTAATGTCTGCGACAGCATCATCTAATACTTGTGGAGTATTTCCTAATGGAATGTCACGTTTCTTGATCTCTGCGACGTCGATGTGGTCGATGCCTGACGCCATTGTTGATACGGCTTTTAGTTGAGGTCCTAAGGAAATAGATAATTTCATAGCTTGTGTAGATTTTATTGTCAAACCAGCTTTTGCCAGCAGCTTCGCCCGCCTAGCTATGTTTTTTTTTATGACATAAGCCGGTAAACGAGCAGACGGATCACCTGATGGTAAGCAATCGGCGTCGCCCATGGACACCTGGAACACCAGAGGCGTTACAAGTGCGTAACGGGCCATTTGGAGATTAAGAGTTTGAGGATCGTTGGGGGTTCAGGAATTGGGGAGATTGGGGAAGGGGAGGGTAATTGGGCCTCCGGGAACCTCACTCACACGACGTGTGAAAAAAAATGCCCCGTGTGTTATTTCAGAGCGTAATCTATCCATTTTCGAAATTTCATCTCAATCGCTTCAGCCGTTTTGACGTGAAGGAGTAACAAATAAACATATGTAAGAAGTAGGTATTTGTTTTTTGGTTTCTTGGTCTATCTTCATTTTGTTTATGAATTTCCCAATAGACTACGATATTGAGTGAAGGTGTAAAAGAGAATACAGAAGAATACACTTACATTCTTTTTGATAAAAGGCATTTAAAATACAGAAAAATAAAATTGGTTGGTATATTTTTAATAAAACCTAATAAAAGCAGCATTTCGTAACCCGCGACAGACAGTCGCCGCGAAATGCTGCTCATGAATATGAGCCTCTAGCATGGCTTGAAACTAGTCGAGTTCCTCGTCAAATTACTACGTGAGTAAGCCGAAAATATAATAATTTATTTAGTATGTCTCACGAAAGTTACAATACAAACCTTATAGATTAAACTGGACTTGGAATTGTAAATCGATCTTAGAAATTCATCAATTAATAAGTCTCATAAAGACCAGGGAAAGACTGACAAACCTTGTTTTTCTATCTTACCTGCTATTGCCAATAATTCTCCAGTAAGTTTGTGTTTGGTATTCCATATCAAAGCGTCGAATCCTTTGAGGTTGTTTTTAATATTCGGCAAGCTCTCTGCTTCGTAGTCCAAGTGCGGAAGCACGACCGCTTCAACTCTGTAAGAAGAGAACACATTAATCAATTTTATCTTGTCTTAAATATTATTTGATCGTGAAATTGGTTCTCTATTAATTTAGTTGGTATTTTATATTTCCTTTACTGTTTTGATTTTAGTTGTTTACGAATCTATTTGCAAAATACAGGTGTGTAAACGGAACCCTTCCGAAAAACGCCGACAGGTGATGGTATAAAAAGAAGTTTTATTTTCATACATTTGAGGAATAAAATTTTCTTTAATGCAATAATAGTATAGTAATCAATTCATGTTATTCATGCAACACCAGCGAGTTCGAGTATTCGCACCTTTAAAGTATTAAACACACATTTTCATGAATTGAGTACCTATTTATGTGAATTGACTATGTAAAAAGCCTAAAATAATTAGACGGCATTTACCTACTCAATTCATGAAAATTTTCGTTTAATAATGCTTTTACTTTAAAGATGTGAATTACTCGAGGTTGATGTAATGTTGCATGAATAACACGAAAAAAAGCCTATTAAAATTGTAAGAACCATTTCTTTTTGTCAGTTTTTCAGGACATTCAGTTTACACCCTAGTGCAATAATTATTTTTAAGTGATAAGTAATTTCTGACGTTTTAATTATCTAAGAAGTTTTTTTACGTTTTAATTTTATTTGTCGAATCGGAGTCGTAGGTAATTACAAGATGAGCCTATCTATAGGTACATTTAGGCATGGATCTAAGTTGGTGTGTCAGATGACTAAAATCACAACAGATTTGGATGGATGATGGATCTCAGCATTTCGTATCGACAGCTACGAATACAAACCGATACCGAATAATATTAAAATAAGGAAGATGAAAGAAAAAGTATAAGAAGAACGATTGTTTTCGACCAGTTGCACTTGAGATGGTATCTGAATAGGTATCTATACACCTCTTTAGAACTTCTAATCTTAACACTTCATCATTAGACGGTAAACCAGACAATCATGGTAAGACAATAGCATATCGGAAACTGAAAGAAAATATGAAACACTGTAAACAATAGGTACCTACGTTTCTGGTTACGACGTAACTTGACCCGAGAACCGAACCTTTTCTTGTTACTTAATCAAATGCTTTTGTGACATGTAAAATAATAATGAAACATAATAATTTGATGTTATAAGATAATAATAAAGAAGAAGAAAATAAAAAGGAACATATTAAAAATAATTCAATGTTACTCACTTGTTTTTCAAAAGTTCTAAACCGGCGACCGGGAATGACTTATTTACAATAAGAACTCGTTTCAGCGACATCTTGCGGATAATCAATACAACTGATTACACAAATCGCGAATTTATAAATTGAAGATCAATTCTTTTGATGTTATATTTATACTCCAAAATATCAAATGATAGAGTTTAAATATAATTTATCAGAACCCGACAATGATATCTATACTATATATAGAATATTACACTACAATAGGCTATTTATAATACAAATAATCGTGTTATTGACTCCCGATTACAATTAAGTTTCAACAAAAATAAAAAAATTACGTCATTTAAAACACATGGCTACACTTTGTGAGAGATAATGACACTTGTCATTCATCTACGAAACAACGCCAGTGAACGTTATGTAACTACGACACTGTATCGCCATCTAGTGTCGAGTAGCTGAAACAATGACAACAAGAGGAACGTACATTTACCAACACATTTCATAGATGTCGCTAGTTATTATTGCTTATTTATAAGTTCGGAAACTACAACTAAATTCTTTAGATTTAAAAAAAATATACTCATGGATACTGCAAAAGAGACCACCATTTTGGTAAGTCATCTTCCCCAGAAAACATAACTCATTACATGGTCCGCTACGCATTAGTGATACCTCTTGTGTTGGAAGTGGTAAGTAGGTAAGTACTTAAGTTACGGTGTCCGGTTGTCATCTAATGGATCTTCAACTTCATACCTTAATATAAAACTATTTATTATTTATTTATTTATTTATTATTACTTCTTCACGAAAGACTTTCACAATAAAAGTAAATGGCGGACGTAACGCCTTAAGGCATTCTCTGACAGTCAACCATAGGGAAGTGCAGAGAAATGAAGCGGTTGATGCGAAGCCAGCACGATAACCCAACACGATTTTGGGTTTTTTACCTACCTATAAAAATAAACATTTTACGCACACGTGGCAGTTAACAACAACAATTAATTGGCAATGAATAATCTGTCTCCAACAAATAAAGAAGCAAAACCGAATATCAATAAATTGATGCATTTTTATTTTGATATTCAATTTAAACAGAATACCGTTCCTTATACGTCTTAACTTAATGTTTTGTCTACAAAACGTTGGTTAGCATCATTTAATAGTTGCAATACATGAAACGCAATAACCAGTAGCAGATACCATCAAATCAACCTACTCCAATTTGTCAAACTTATTTATTGGATTTTCGTCTTTATATCATTACAGTAAAGTTGAAGATGTGATAGACAAATTTAACAGAAAAGTATAGATTGACCTGCTGGCTACTGTTCTTGGGCCTACTCAAGTAGAAGCCCATTATTTGAGGTTATAATTGCAATATTTTTACCGAAACGTTTTACACAATTTATTGTGACGTTTTACATGGTGAGCAGTTATGGAATTACTGAATTATTAGCGGGGGACTAGTGGTCGAATTTCTTGGTCTAGTCATCGTCGTAAATAATGTATCGAGGTCTTTTTGATCAATTTTTGTGTTCTACCGATATATTTTCAGACTTGGTGATATTATTACCTCCTTTACTTACTTTGGGCTGATTTATCAATCAACAAATAATTAATAGGTAGTCAAATATTCAAAATTAACCTGGCGTTGGAAAAATCGGACCTTAATTAACTTAATTTACTTTGCCCGCTTATCGAATCCGGTATTTGTTTGAGGGTCATACTTGTCGCACTTAGAAACGCAATTAGGTAACTAATAGAGAAGTTCTACAAATACAGCAACTATTTATATAGTTATACCCAGAGAACAAAGAACTACATAACAGGCTATATAGTGTATAACGCCAACCTACACCCCCATAACCTTATTTAAAAATGTCCCCTTACTTAACACAAGTACAAAAACGAAACTACAATCGTTTGCAAACACCTTTTCTTATTTGTGGCCTATTAAATAGAATGGAACGTTATTAAATCTTCATATATCCCTTTACAAGGTAGATAGTAAGCGTTCGCTGCAAACTGGGAACTATTTATGACTTTTTCAATAAACCGCTAACATTTACTGTACTACGGTGGACATAAACAGCAGTTCCAGGACTTTATGATGACACAGTGGCTTGTAGTTACGTACAAACATACTGATATACCTCTATGTACTATGCATGTAAAGATATTACCCCGAATGTTGTCAATGTGCCAGCTAAACGCATCTGCTGTTACAATACCGCACAGATGTCTTGATGTGAATAAAACGACGCTAACGACATCTATGCTGTAGATAAATGATTGAAATGAAATGTGGCGTGTGGTTTTGTTTGAATTGTTTCTTAGATGTTTTTATTTTATTTTCATTAAAATCATGGGAAGATCCTTTTAGTATACGATTGATTAAGCGTTAAACATTTTATAATAATTGAAAATTGTTGCTATTGGTCTAATCGTATGTGAGTAATGTGTAAATGAGGTTGTGCTGTAAATCATTCCGAATTTAGTTTCTCAAGAGTTTCTAAACCCATTGCCAACAAGACTGTGAATGTAGAAAAAAAATGAGTACCTCTTAGAAGAAATTGGGTCAGCTTATTTATGCCAAGTAAGAAGTTTTTTAAATGATAAATATTGCAGTTTGGCTAGTATACTCGTAGCTTAGTTTTATGTCAAGGTTTTGTACCGATTTCATCCGATATTGGGACAAGGTTGAGTTTGGTGAAATACAGGGTAAAATGCAAAACTTAGACACCATTTCATAATAAGTATTTATTTTATGGGAATTTTTTAAAGGGGTGAAAATCATCGAATGACTTCTCCTGCCTGGGTGAGGCAGGAGGGAGTGTCAGACACTTACTGACTAAAAGCCACCCCGCTCCTACTCCTGCACTTCAAGCCAGAGCCCCGGTAACTAGTTAAGTTCTCTTTCATAAAAAGTTTTTATTTTATGGGATAGGAGGCAAACGAGTAGACGGATCACCGATGGTAAGCAATTACCGGCGCCCATGGACACCCGCAACATCAGAGGAGACATAGGTGCGTTCCCAGCCTTTTAAAAAGCAATACAGTATTTTCTTGAAAGTTTGAAAGTCGTATTTGGTTCGTAAATACCGCCACTACGTCAGATCATTTGACAGTTTTGATGTGCGAGGCAGATAGCTACGAGAAAACCGCACAGTTGTGGCTTGGCAACCATCTATAATTATTATGGGGATGGATATGCTGTGGGTGTGGGATGGAGAAAAGACGCAGCAGGTATCAGACCAAACAATTTATGGAATAACTGCTAATATTGTGTTCAAGACCGATAACCTATGGAGTTTCTTGCTCGTTCTTCTCCATAGGAATCTACACCTTGTAGCTTCACTTTTAAATTTCTATTGCTGACGTTCATATGTGCTTTCCTGGTCTAATTGAAATAAATGATTTTGACTTTGACTTGACTTTGATAAACCAACAAAAGACAGCAAACAGCATCCTCTAGGTTTTGAATGACTAACTGTGATTTTTAAATCACCTGCATAATTAAGGTAGAGTCGATTACGGCTCCTGTGTTCCCATTTTCAGCCGTGGTTACTCTGATTGATTATGATAATGTAATTGGTATTCTACGTATATATCACCTAAGTTAATTGAAAGTCCTTTTGGACATACAATAAGCTATGTGACGCACCACGACCACAACCATTCTGCCAGAAAAGATACAACTGAAAAGAAAAAGGAAAATACACAAATTAAAAAAAATAATAAACAATCGAACATCTGGCAGCGATTTCGACATCAGTATTATAATACTATTAAATTGTAGACGACATTCGACACGCACTTACTGAATCTGTTAACACTACTCTTTATTTTCATCGTATTGTTTTTCGTATAATACAATCGGTTTGAAGAGGCATTTACTTGAAGAGTTTTCTCCCGAGAATGTGGGTTTTTGTAGTTAGTTGGGTTATACGAGGGTTGAGGTGCTATCGACCGTTGCAGGCGCCTCTCTGGCGGCCGACGCTATGGCTTGAGGAAACGCTAAAGGGTAGGTATTTCCCATACCTCTTGTTCTTATAAATAGTCATTATGCACTACATGGGTAAGAAAAATGGACGATGTCCAGTGGTCAGTCGTAAAATGTAAAAATGTATTGTGTTTTATTTCATTTTAGATCTTCAATAACTTCTTTTCAATAAACCTATTTTTTTTTTAATTTCTAACATGTTTGCCTAATTTAGTCATGTCGCACAACACACTCTTATGTTAATTGCAAGTATGCATTTAAAAAAATCACAACCAGTAAAAAATTCTATTACCCAATTCCAAACCTCCAACACAGACCACAGAACATAAATCAAATGATTTCGCCAGCCCACGACAGTGACGTCACAACCTTATGTCAGCCATGATGACGATGAACGCAATTTCCGTTTCCCGAATAATTCCCGCGCTCACCTGTCGCGTCGCGGCAAGGTGGCGGGCGCGTGTCTTTCGCGACCCCTGCCCCTAAACAATAGCACCTGTGCCATATCAGGTGTCAGATACTTGTTACACTTTATGCTTGCCTGGTACTTTCGTTTTTCTAACCAGCAAAATTGAAGGATAATTTTTGTCTTTTTTAGAAGCATGTTTAAATAATAATTTAAATAAAT